CCTGAATCCCCTGCTCCAGATTGTCCTCTGGAGGAACTATTCCCAGCGGACAGGTCTGATTTCAGGGTAGATTCAGCCACAGTAACTAGAGCTCCAGGTTGGCAAATGGATCCCGAGACAGTCAGATAGTGTCCTATCCCTGACACTTGTTCCTCATTGTATCCATCTGCTTACTTTGCAGTGCTGCTGCATCTTCCTTTTGGACAGTAAGGTACCTTCAACAGTTGTGGTGTCCCTAAAGCAGAAGTCATTGTTTCTATGAATCTAATCCATGTCAGAAGTGTTGTTATTCCAGCACTGGATTTGTCTCAGGCATATTTGTGATCTGGCATGAAATACTGTCAGCACTTACGTGATAAAATACTCATTCACATAGAATAAGAATAGGATTTCATTCTTGATCTCTGACAAAGATTCTTATCACACCTGGAGGCTGATTCAGTGGGCTCAGCAGGTACACAGCTCTCTGAAAATCAAGACATTCAGGACTTGCCTAAATCCACAGTTAGTCTGCCTCTCCTGTAGTGCTTCGATAAAATAGCTTTCATCACCTTTTCATCACATCAAACTCCAGCTGAATCATTACTATGTACTGTAGTGGTACCACAAATAAGCTTCTTAGCCTCTGAAACCTATACTGGTTTTCAGCAATATCATGGTGGTTTTATCATGTGTTTTATTCACAGATTTCAAGATGCTTTGCAAAGATAGGGTCAGCATTGGTACGACAATTTCACAGGAAGAGGGTACTACAGTTTCAGAGTTTCAGTGACTTGCCCAACGTCTGTTGCAAAATAGCAGTGAAACACAACCCAGGCATTCTTGTACCAGGCTTGTGATTCAGCAAAGCATTAAAGCAAGTGCTTAACTTCAAGCAAGAGCTCAAGCTGTTTGAATGGAGACAGATTTAAGTATCAGTCTAAATACTTTGCTGGACTGGGTCTTCAGCTTTCAACAGCTAATTATTGTTTACAGCTATTTCAGTTCTTTTCATATAGCTCAGCATATCTTTAGATGGTGGAAATATTTTAAAATTAATTCAATTGTGTGAAAAAGTGTACTGCTTGCTGGCCTTTTAGCAACTTAAATGTTCATGCATATGTTTGGGGTTTTGTGTTGCTTTTTTAGATGACACAAGTCACTCGACAAGAAGTTCTTGGCCTTTACCGCAAGATATTCCAAATAGCCAAAAAATGGCAATCAGCATCAGGACAGATAGAAGAAACTATTAAAGAGAAAGAGTATATTAAAAATGAAGCCAAAACATTATTCAGAAAAAACAAAAACGTGAGTGTCCTTACAGTTTTGAATTTCTGAATGATTCTCCTCTTGCTCTTTGCACTGTCTCAGTGATTGGATGCTAAGATATGGATATAAAAGTTGATTTCCCAAAATTTCATTCACCTTAAATGCTGGTGTATCCAGGTTATAGTTTAAATTGCACCCCTGAAATAGTAGTAAGAAAACTCAAACCATTTCAGCTCTTCATTAACTCCTGCAGAAGTCTAAAAGGTCTAGAGCTTTCACTTTGTAGTGAAAGCATTTTTTTAAATGCCAAGAAAAAATTAAATTCCAAAGATACTGCCTATATAATTGAAGCAGCTTTTGATCTTTTAGAAAGTTAGCTAAGTGTATCATTACCCATGCAATGGCAAACAAAGCTCAGTAGCTTCTTATACTTCTTTTTTTCTTTTCAAAGCAGCAATTATTGGCACTGCTTTCTTTTAAAAGCAGCACTTTATTTTTTTTCTTATGGAAGAAATTCCAAACCCCTTTTGAAAGGGGCAATACAGACTCCATGGTAATCAAAGGTCCTTCTTGTAATTCAAGATCACAATACTTACTTATATCCCATTTTGGTGAGGGACTAAATTGAAGTCATGCAAAACCAAAAAAATAATTTAAGTCACAATTTACACCGCATTTCTGACTTCAAAGGGTGTTTCTGCTTAGGATGGTAACAGAATGTTGACCAAGGAGCCTCTTCCCTTTCTCCTCTAGCTACCTTGCAGAGTGATGTATGGGTGAGTGTGTTTTTTTCATGGATGTATTAGTAGTTTACATGTGTGTTGTCTTTTTACGGAGAAAATACCATGTTTGGATAAAAACCTCCTTCTATAGCCTCAGTCATTACAGCCTCTGGGCCTTAATATCCAGTGCCACCAAGCCCAGAACTGTTGAGTCAAGGCATATACTAATGTTACCTTTTATGGATGTGAAAAATACAACCATTATATCTTTGGGATTGCCAAAAAAAGCTAAAGAAAGTCATGTGGCTGTGCATCATTTATGCTTGAGCTTCCAATTGCTAATTGCTGTACTTGTACAAAACATTTGTTTGTATGATCTTAGTTAACAGATCCAAAGTTGATTAAGCAGTGTATAGAAGAATGTGAGGCAAGAATAGAAATTGGACTTCACTATAACATCCCCTACCCGAGACCTGTGAGTATAAATCTAATCACAAAGTCTTCAGCTATACCCACTTGGCTCTCACTGGACAATAAAACCATAAGTTCATGTCACTGTCACCACACTGCATTTTTAGATGAGCTGGTATTTAAATGCTATGCTAAATCTGAGCCAAATAAGCCAAATGTATATTGAAATGTTCTCCATCTATCTCATTTCACTGTAAATCGGTTAATTTGTTCTCAAAATAAGGAGTCAAAGCCTAAATAGAGTTGCATGACTAAAATCCCAAGGCCTGTGAATTTAGGCAGTATTGTCTGACCAAAGAATACAGAAAAAGATGATAATGGAATCAAATTTGTTGATCTTTGCACGTAATAAAAGAGAATGAAAGAATAAAAATACTTAATTACATCTGCCATAGATACAATAATTTTCATAGCCTGTATTACTGGTAACTTCTCCTGGTCATAAATCAGGTCTTATAAAACACCTGCCTATGTTGCTGCCTCTTTTCCCCTGTTCCTAGAGAAAAACATGTTCAAGATTACCAAAATGCTGGAAGTTGCAGCAATGTCTTCTATTGCATTATTCAATATAGTTTCCTCACTGCCTAGTCACTACTGTCTGTAGCCTCCCATAGAGACTTCCTCTCTACTCCTGTTGATTAGTTTATATTTTCACATCTATAGTTTCCTTATCAAGGCAGTCATGGTCAAAATTAAGTTGTATCTTTATCAGATGCTTGCCTAGAATATGGTCACTGTTAGCATCTGTTTTACATACAGATTTTTCTTCAGTATACAGAATAACAATGCACATCTGGCAAACAGTGCTCCTAGAAATGGGCTTAAAATGTATGCTCTGCAGTGGCTTCAAAATCCCAAAGATCAGTCCTAGATCAGCTCTCTCAAACAAACCGGATGATCATTATTTTTCAGATTCTGGAAATCTCTATTACTGCTTTAGTCAGTGCTTTTACTACTATTTGCACCTAAACAGCTATCTTACAGGATGACAGCCTCAGCAACAGTAACATCTGACTGCTAACACCTACATTTTTCAATCACTTAGGGGGGCTATAGCTGCACAACTCCCACTAACAGTCTTATGAAATATAAAGACTTTGTCAATCAAAGGAAGAGCCTGTCACCTATGGCTCCTTCTGCTTGTGGAGTCAATGACATCAATTGCGCATTTTAATATGGTACATATAATCATGACAATAAGAAGGCAGTCTTTCAATACATAGAGTTTGGGGTTATTTTGTGACTTGTTAGGTAGGTATGAACAAAGCACACAGTGCTTTAAGACATCTACTCAGGAATTTTTCAGGTTTTCTAGGTCCTACTGTTCTGGAACATTGTCAGCTGTCCTATTTCAACAAGTATTTTATCATTACAGTCTGGTATCAAGCTACAAAACAAGGTTACTAAAGCCTAAAATATATAGGATTTTAATAAACAACATTTAGGGCCTGAAAGTTACACCACTAATCACTCCTCAGGCGAGTGCTCCTCCTAGAAACTTAATAACCTGGTTTGAGATGGTACAGTTGCCCTCTCCAAAGTGTGAAGACATTATTCAAAACTCAGTGAAACCTAGTCTATATGTATGTCTTCTTTTTCTTGTAGCTTCTCAAGTTGCACCTAACTGGTGGGATTTTCTTTTCCAGATCCATCTGCCTCCTATGGGTCTTGCCCATAAGCAAGGCCGTACATTGCGACATCAGGAAAAGTTAAGGAAGATTTCTAAGCCAATATACCTGAAGTCCCATGATGAACTTTCATAACCCATCATTTAAGCTGTGATGCATAGTCACATCATTTAAGCTGTGGACTGCAATCCAGGTGATTTGTGTGCACAACTGTGAATGAAGCTGTTTTGGTCACTTGCTCACACATTTCCTGAGGCCAAAAAGCTAATTGATACATTGCATATGATGGATAAGGTCAGTCTAGTATTTATTACATGTCAACCACTGACACATCAATAAAAGTAACACTTTTTAAGGAGTGAGGTGTGATACGAAGATTACTTTGACATCAGCACAAATTACAGCAGGTTTTCAAATTCTCTTAATTTATAGCAGGGTTCTCTGGTGGTTTGATGATTATATATGCTCAATTGTGATTCAAGGCAGTGCCTTGTGTAAGGGTCGGCAAAAATCAAGTAAGTTCAGGAAAATCAAGCAGAGACGGTGCCTGCAGAGCTTCCAAATGCAAGTGGGAATACAGTGACTGCATCATGCAGCTGCACTCCTTTCTCTTGTCCCTTGTCTGTCTGTTGTCCCTGGAGAAACATTCCAGTTTCATAGTATCCTTATGGTGAAGTATTGTTTCTAAACAGACAGTAGCAAAGAGACAGCAGAAATGCCACCACTCCTTTTTCCTTTTTGCAAACTGCAGAGGAGTGGCCTAGAGCCTCTATGTCAGCTTTTTCTTCCCCTTCCTTTGGAGAGGGTGTGGATGTGAAATGCAAAGTTTGGCATGCCGTTACACAACTCAGAGTAAAACATTCCAGTGTTGGGTTCCTCAGGTTCCCATGTATAGGCTGACTGAAAACTCTCCCTTTAGGGTATCACTATGGGAGCAAGCTTAAGATACTTTGGGTGTCTTCACTATGCATTTTTACATGGTTAGCTTTTCAACATAATCAGCACACTGGCTTTCTCAACAATTATTTTAGTGTGAGGTTTCAACTCTTACATTATGGACAGAAATCCAATTTTATTAAAAGAAATCATCTACAACTTATCTTTTCAGTCTCTTAAGTTCGAGGGGTATTTCTGTTTCGCAGGTGCCTCATGAATGGAAGTGAAATGAAATTAATTCCCCCCTCACTGGCCACCAATTGTTTTGGCTCCTTTTCAGTCCTCTGGCTTTACCAGGCTGTTTACAAATTCTCTTCAGGAAAGTTAGGGGAGCCTACTGTCCGTCAGGCTAGAAGTACCAATGAGACCAAGCTGTGGACAAGAGCCACGCTGTACTGGGAGACTACATAAGCACAGCCCACAGCTGCTTTAAGGACAGAGAGTATAAGCAGCAACCTATGCCAGCCAGAAGTTAATGGTGGCAAAAAAGCAAATTTGAAAAATGCATTGTATGTTATTTCCTATATTAAAGTGGGCAAAACCAATGAAATCTCATTTTCTGAGCTCTCCAGCTCATCCTAAACTCTCCAAGCCCTAATAGACAATGGCAAAGAAATCCTGTCTGCCTTAAAAATAAGTTAAAACTGGTCATGTGCAGAACAGAATGACAGTCCCTCCCCCAAGAATGTACTTGCAAGAGTGAAAAAAATACAAGCAGATGAGAAAGTACAAGGAAACAATGAGAAGAGCGAGTCAGCATGACAGGTACTGGCTAGCCCAATTTTTCACTACCTTTTATGGCTCCAGTCCACAAAGGTACCTATTCCCATATAATTATTTCCTGGGAATGCCTCATGTGGGAAGTAACATGTAAAATGCCATTGTTCTGCCTGTCAGTGGGAGCTTTGCAAATTTACTGCTGCCAAGAAGACACAAAACAAAACTCCTTTAGCCTAGGAAAAGGGGGATGGAATAAAGACAGTAAAAAATAACATGATTATACACACTGCTTAATCCTTCATTGAAAGAAGTCCAAATACAGTCTTTTTCCTATCCTCATTCTGATACACCAGTGTAGAGATGCGTCAACTGAGCCAAACCAAAATGTGCAGAGACAAGGGTTTTGAACGGAAGCTTAGGCTCATTCTTTGTCATTAAACTATCATTTGAATCTTTTGAATTGTTAAAATTCATGTGGCTACTGAAAGTACTGATGATGTGACTCATCAGGTGAATAAAAAGCTATGTAAATGAGCAATCTACATTTACTGTCTGTATTATAGTCACAACTCTTTCCTGAGCACATACTGTAAAATGTAATTACTTCAAAAGAACATCCCTAAAATTAAGGCAGATTTACACCAAATTGAAATAACAATATGAGTTTGAGTTTATTTCTGAAGGAAGGTATAAATAAGCAATTTTTAAAAGGCTCAAGTAACCTTAACTCAAATGACTATCCACTTGCTTAACTGAAAAGCCACTAAGCTGAACTGCAGTAACAGCATCACATTATTTGAGATACTTTAAAATGCTAGATAGCTCATTAATTTTTGAAAATAAGCATTTGAGAAATTAACAACTAGTCCCTGATCCTCATTACTTTCCAGCACCATAAGGCAAAGACTGAAATTTGTTAAAACCTCAGGCTGTTCAGCTAAAGGAAGGATTAGATCAGCTCTTTTGTCAAGTCTGGAGAGCAAAACTCTTCTTTCACAGCTTAAGTTAAACTCTGCATGGAAAAGAGAATCTACCTTAAATAGTCTCCTTTGGTTTTGGAGGGCAAACTGGCAAATTACCATTTTGAGGGAGTTTCATAAAAAAATTTTCATCTGCAACTCAGTCTGACAGGTAGGCAGACATCTGAACTGGTACTCATTGTATTAAATTGCAAGGACCGTATAACTTCTGTCAAGAAGTATTCCAATGATGGTGCAATATGTCATTCCTACACATTAATTTTACTTGCAAAAAGATGTCCTAAAATGCCTCTGAGTTCTCAAGAGTTTGTAATGCACTAGATTCAGCCAGTCAGTGTACACTCTGTCCTGTACTTTAACTTTCTCTTATTCCCCTTCCAGTAAATACTGTCTTTTTCCAATTTATCACAGTAGTCAGGAAATGCTTTAGAATAATTTAGAATAAAAAGATGTCATTAACTTTATATTCTTTAGAAATAAAAATCTTAAGTCAGTTGCATGAACTCTACTGCAAGCTAACCAGTAGGCAATTTGTTGACACTATATCTGGCCTTGAATATCTAAATAACATCTCCTCTCTGGAAATTCTGTCCCTAACTCCATCATTAGTAGGGTTGTCATTTATGAAGTCATGTGCTTATGAAACCAAATTTAACACTAACATTAGCAAGCACACAATCATTTAAGGAGATTGACTCGGCACCTGCTTACTGAATGTACCCCCTTAATGTTGTCTAGGGGTGAGGAAACGCTCATTAAGTTGCAGCAGTGACCCAAGTATTCCAAGGGAAGTATCACAGAAGTGAAAGAGGTTAAGACACATTAGGTTATCATCTGATCTATCATCCCACCAATACAAGTTTGTTCTTGTAATACTTTTTAGATCTGGAAAAAATAAGGCAACCTGGACCTCACTTTCTTGGGACCCTACTATGTATCCATCAGAATTTATATCAGTAAGATGTATCTTTTATCCACAGACAGAAACATCACTGATTTGAGCATACCTATAAATTCATTTTCAAGAATGCTAATTACAGGAGAGACCCAGACCTTTCACTAATTTTTCTAAACCTATTGGGTAAAACATTCTGGCTTATAGGAATTCTTAAGTACAAGAATTCAGGGCCTTTGTATTGTCTTTTGCTTTTTCATTGTATAATTTTCCCTTTAACAGTCCAACAGTGTTAGAATCCACAGAGATAGTACTTTCTGTTTCTGAAATGGATTTTTGTACAGATGACACAATAGAAAGGTTTCCATCTTCTAAGAAAATGTACTAACCTTATCTGTCTTACAGCATACCTAGCTGAAAAATCTGTCTCTGCTATTTCTAAGGAAAAAATATCTCTTGCTCTGTAACGTCTGTATACTTCATTTTTTTTCCATCTTCTCTGATTCATTAGCAAAGCTGTGAATCTATGATTTGCAGTAACTACAGGTGTTTTTTGTGGTCTGTTTAATAAGAGCTTCTAATTAAGAAATGGAAATACTAAACCTGTAAAGCCAAGAATTCTAATACTACTATTACAAGGTAGTTCATTTGTCCAAATTTTTTTCACATTTTTATCATGTCCAACTAATAGCTGAGTTGCCCCCCCCCCTGCATCTCAGCCAAGAAAGGCTGTGAATTCTAATGTTTAGCCAGCTTATCATTCTTCAGGAAGGTCTAGACAATGCTCAGGAAATAAGGTTGGGAAGCTCATTTCAAAGAACCACAGAAAAATATCTTTAAGACAGATATCCCTCAACAGTAAATTCCATTACTTTTTCTCTAATAGTAAGGGCAGCCCAGGAAATCATGTACTTCAGTAATCATCAGCTAAAGCAACTCAGCCATGCCTGATCCCTAGTGAAGGGGCAAGCAACAGATGCATGAAGCCTCTTTCACGGACTTCTCTCTTATCAATATATTTTGGTCACATCTACAAAAGCTTGAAATAGATCTTTAATTACATTCTAAGAGATGCTTTCATCTCAAATCTAAACATTAACACAGAAGCAGCATTTAGAAAATGAACACAGTAACAAGGACATTGCACACAATGTAGTAGCAAAGCCACTATATATTCACAAGAACCACAACTGTCATTTAATAAACTATCCATTAGTATTTGTTCACAAAAAGGCGTTAATGAGAAACCCACACGGCAAGCTATCCCACAGTATTTTCCAACAGTTTAAAATGTAGCCAGCATATACTAACGAATCTGGCTTTTAATTTAAAATGCCTTAATTTAGAGGACTGCATTTGCAAGACTAGCATTATCTGAAGAAGGATGGAGAAACTTGAGTTTAAAAGTAATTTATCTCCATAAAATGTAATGTAGCTAGCATATACTAATGAATCTGGCTTTTAATTTAAAATGCCTTAATTTAGAGGACTGCATTTGCAAGACTAGCATTATCTGAAGAAGGATGGAGAAACTTGATCCTCAAATTTCAACTTCTCTTCATTTTAGTGTTTCAAGAATGATTACTTTATTGTTGCCCCAGCCTCCCTTTCAGCAGTGCCTCAGCAGCAACAGGTAAGCTGTCACCAGTCACTTGCATGTGTAAGCTCAAATCTAAATAGAAAGATCCTTTTGAGAGCAGTGACTGAACAGATCAGTACATAGGGAAGGATCTAACAGCCACATCCAGCCTCTTTGGCCAGCATGCAAAGCACCTATAAGAGGAGGCTCATGACTGGTTATCTCTGATGCCACAGTGACCTAATTAG